TTCATTAAGATTTTTTCTCCCTTGGATAATATCTGCGGCATACTATCAATGATGGTATTGTTACCTCAATATGTCTAAAAAAGAAACAGATCATAAGTGGTGTTTTGGTGATCTAGAAGCATAAAATCGTAAGTGCATAAGGTTTAAAGCGCGTTTTTAACTACATTAGTTATAAAAACTGAGTTTTTGCGTAGAAGCGTTTTGGTGACCTAGAAGCGTAAAAGCGTACGTTTTTAAGCTTTAAAGCGCGATTTTGACTACATTGGTTCTGCGGTTTTTGGGCAGCCAGCTTAGTCAATCTAGGCTCCGAGATTAATTAGTTGCTTTAAAGCAACTGATATTATGACCAAAGAGACTTAGTAGAGTATCCAAGCATGGAATTATTTATGTTTTGTGCTTACTTGGTGCCTTGTTACTGATGCTCATTATACCGGATGATCCTTTCCTTGTATCAGGGCTGTATTTTCTTTGTATTTATTTCTGTAGTCTTTATGATGGTTTTGGATCAGATGAATGCTTCAAGATGATGAGTTTTATACTGATGGAATGGTGTAAGAAATTTTGTAGCCTGTATAAGTTCAGATTTTTTTTATGTGGTTATACTTTCATTGTCTACAACATGTTGAAACATGACCTACCATTTTTAGAAAGAGAAGTTGATCTTTGATTAGGTTATCTTGGCCAACACTAGTTGCAGGAATATCAACTTGACCAATCGATTCTGCCATGTTGTTGCTTGTCGGTCGCTATATAGTTGTGAAGTGCATTTATGGTTGTTGCTTCTCTTGGTGGCCGATGCTTGATATTGATGGTCAAAGCCATCTCTTTTAAATGTTAATTGTCATCTCACTAGCTCTTTGTCTAATTATCTCAATTTCCATTTGCTCATTTGTAGTCCAGGCACACACGGCAGAATATCTAAGAGGAAGGATACTAGACAGAAGCCAAAATCATATGTCAGCCTCTAGGCAGTCGCATCATGTAGCTAGCATTCTGTTTAGAAGCGCAATCAAGAAGCGAAATGCAAGGAAATTACATGAACGTAAAATTGTGAGACAGAACATCAACACAGTTGGTGCAAATTTGCTTTCTTAACTGCTTTTGTGGGATTCTGCCCAGATTGTCGCTACTGGTACATAGAACTACATCACTGTGATGAGGTTAGGGTGTGTAAATCATATCAAGTTATGTGTACTTTGGTCAGGCGAATTTCATTGAATCTCTTGCTTAGAGAGCTAAAGTTCATCGTAATAATAAAATTGGTTTCATGTGGTTATCTAAAGTCTTTCCGCACTTGAACTTTATGCCTATTCATGTAGTTGTTTATTCTGTTCCAAAGATATAATTGTCAATAACCAGTTGCTCCCAATAACTCGAGTTGTTGGGAGAAGGTTACGCTGGATCTTATACCACTCTCTAACACGCCCCCTCAAACGAAAGCCAACCCACGGGCTTGAAGTTTGCACAGGCCCACCATACCATGTGCTTGAAAGACAACAGTTAATATTGTACAGTTTAGGGGTCGTTTGCTTCAAGGATTTGGTACATGGATTTGGTACCAAAAAACCAACTATCAAGGATTTAGGTACAATCCGTTGTTTGCTTGCACATTTTTTGGAGACCAAATCCGTGGGGCCCACGGATTTTAAGGGTTCAAATCCGTGGACCCCACGGACTTATAAATCCCACATATTGATGTGGGATTTGGAATATGGCATAAATCCTTGATGAGATTTTACCCATATACCCTCATGCACTTTTAATATTCCAAGGTTGCCCTCAAATTTAACTATTATACATTATAATTAACAATAAATGAATAATATAAACGTTCAATTAATGTGCAAATATGAGTTATATTTTTTATATCATTTCTTGCGTTCTAGTTTTCTTTGACCTTTTCATGAAACGTGTAATTCTTTGTTCTCCCGATTCTAATATATGTTGTTATATGTTACTTTTGAAAAGGAGGACAAAGAATTGGTAATTGATTATGTTACGTTAAAAGTTAAAACAGAATTTTCTCGTTTATTATTATTGTCCATGTGGCAACATTATGCTTATTAGTATGTATTGTCCTTGTTTTGTGTACATATCATAAACATGTCAAACATATAGAAAATGATAGTAAGATAATTTTGAAGTTTTGTCCTTGTTTTGTGTACATATCATAAACATGTCAAACATATAGAAAATGACAGTAATGTAATTTTTGACTTCAAGTAGTAAATCCCACACCTTTAAATCCATGATAAAAACATCCCAACAAACAAAGGATTGTTACAAATCCATGATGCCTCAAATCCTTGATAAATCCTTGGGTTTTTAAATTACAAAACCCACATTTTCAAATCCTTGAAGCAAACGACCCCTTAGTCTGGAGAGATCCCAACCAAGAGAGAGAGAGAGCGCGCTAGCAGCGGGAACAAGAAAACAAAAAAGACGAAGAAGAAGAAGAAGAAGAGGAAGAGACGAATTTCCCTGCTTTACGATCCGGACATGGCAGCTTCTGTTGCCATCTCCTTCTCCACCCCGCGCTCTCCTTCTTCTCCCCCTTCTCAATCTAAATCTTCTTCTTTCCAACACTGCCGTAGCCTTCCTCCTTCCTCTCTTTCATTTTCTTCTTCTCATCCTCCTCCGAATCTCCGAATCCTCATCTCCGTCACAAACCCTAGGAAAACCCGAGCCTTAGTCCGCGTCTCCTCCAATTCAGACTCTTCGTCGTCTTTCGAGGGTGATTTCGGCTCTGATTCCCCACCGTCCTCTGCTGATAAGAAATCAGTCCTCTCAAAGTTGATACAAGAGATAGAACCATTGGATGTTAGCCTCATCCAGAAAGATGTTCCACCTACTACCTTAGATGCTATGAAGCGGACTATTTCAGGCATGCTGGGCTTACTTCCATCAGATCGGTTTCAAGTTTATATTGAGGCTCTGTGGGGACGTCTCTCCAAGTTATTGTTCTCCTCAATGATGACAGGGTACACATTGCGAAATGCGGAGTATAGGCTTTGTCTTGAACGAAACCTTGTTATAGCAGAGGAAAATCTTGACCATTGTCCTACAGAAAATTCTGCATCAGATTTGCTTGGAACAGTGGACAGTCCAACTGCAAATCAGTGTTTGGGAAACAATATACAGTTTGAAACGGTTGTCGAAGAATCAGGAGACGATAATGTTATTCAAGGCCTTGGTGAAATTCCCCCAGAAGCTCAGCAGTATATTCTTCATTTGAAGTCTCGTCTATCTTCTATGAAGAAGGAACTTTATGAAATCAAGCGGAGAAGTGATGCTCTTCAAATGCAACAGTTTGTTGGTGAAGAAAAGAATGATTTATTGGACTACTTACGATCCTTAAAACCTGAAAAGGTAGCCGAGCTGTCTGAACCTACATCCCATGAATTGAAAGAGACAATTCACTCTGTAGTTCATGGTCTTCTTGCAACTCTTTCTCCAAAGATGCACTCTAAGCCTCCCCCTCAATCAGAGTCCACATCAACTGGATCTTATACCACTCTCTAACAATAATTTCCTGTTATTTTGTTTATGAAACCTTTTTCCTATAGACTACTGGATCAGGATCTTTGCTAGGTCTTGAGAAGAACTCATGGACCAAGCCGGCATGATGGAGATAAGGATGCACATTTGTCTGGGTTGAGTGTGATACATGTCCAACTTATGTTAGATTGGCTAATGGATCCAGCAGTGCAGCAGAATAGCTGATTTCAGATTGCAAGTGGTCATCTAAAATGAAGCTAACTAGTTGAGGCCGACAAGTGACAACTACTTGGTGAGTTATGTTATGCACATACTAGAAGTAGCTTTTCCTTCTTTCGGTCAACAGCTGTAGTAGCCAAGTACAGAAAGATAAAGAAAGATTTGAGAATGGTGGACACTATTATTAGCCAGAATATAGCTTTAAATTTAGGTTATACCACAAGTAGCAAGACTGCTCTCGGTTATACCACAACTATGTTTAGCTGGCAAATTACCCTTAAAGAAAAGGGAAACACAATAGTTGACGTAGAGGGCTTGCAACGTCTACTCTACTCTGGTTGGGCATATGAATAGCATCTAATTGATTCTCAAGGTACTGAGCTACTGAAGCAATTGGACAAAGTTGTCAGGTACTAGTTTATCATAAGAATTCCTTTGCAGGTTTCAAGTGAGGGGTATCTTAACCATTAACATTAAGATTTATTTCTCTTGAATTAACTATGACGTTTTCATATTGTGGTCTAACCATTGCCTTCTTTTAACTAACCCTGATAAATGAAAGTTACTGATACATTAACCGTGAAGAGATAGCTGCAGTAATAACATGCAATTAGCTTTTCAGAGGTACTGTTGGCCTTAAGATCCGAATCTAGGATCAGAAGATGAGCTAGCTGGATATCATCATAAGCCTCTTGGGTTTGTTATGGCATATGTGATATGTTAATGAAATGGAGACGGTAATGGAATTTAGGGAAAGATAAAAGTGCAATTTAATCAGCGGGTAAGTTTTCTGGGGAATCAAGTGGTGCATTAATTTGCACATGGATCAGAATTCAGTTCTTTCCAAAAAAATTATTTTACATGGCAGGTGGCTCCTGATATTTCAACAGTGGTTGTTTGAGTTGGTCTGGTGAGGCTGAACTGTGTCCTTTATTGCCTTGTAAATCTGCTCTCTTCTCTAATGAAACGTTCACTTGTTTGTCCATAGTGACCAAGGCACACAATGACACTCTAATATGTAGTAGGCAATAGATCTTTTCTATTACACATTCTCATGCTTGCTCCATTTACTCATGCTTCCAGATACCCCAATTGGGTAGCAAATAACGGTGTTCTATCAGCTTGTAAGATCTTCGGGCAAGAGGTAAGTATATGGCCTTGATGGATGGCATTGATTTTGAACCCTTGATAGAACTGCAGACTGAAAGCTGTAGTGGAGATCCCCTATACGCATAAAATCTGCACTATTTGACCAAATGGCTGGTTTACTGCTTGTTGGAGATGTTGTACCTGGTACCTTCAGTTCTGTTCCAATGTTGGTAGTTGCACAATTAGTCTGTTACTCTGTTGTAATTCGTTTGCAGTAGGCCTATGTGGTTCATAGATGTCTACCTTCTAAGCTCTAATGTGTGTTTTCCTTTGCAGGGAGCAAAAAACAAATACCGACAAAGTGCATTTCACCAAGTATAGTTTGGAGGTAAGAAAGTAACGTCAGGTTCTGGGACAGATATAAATTTCATCTTGTGCAGAGAAGCCCTAAAATCTGAACACATACATTTTGAGTGTGGGAAAAAAACTTAATTAGCTCCAGCTGCTGCAGCAGCAAACAAATTAGCTTAGCACCTTGGCCATGGTGTTTGGTGTCATAATCACGTGATTTCTCATTACTAGTACAGCCTAGTAATTTTTACTTCTCTCTCTTTACATTGCAGGATATGTATACTGATAATAATGGAGGCGACATTGGAAATCCAAACAACCAATGCTGCCTGTTCAAGCAACTGAATTTCAAGTCTCTGTTTGCTAAAGGGACAGAGACCAGAAAGACACAGCAAACAGGTTAGCATTCTCGAACACTTTGCTTCTGATCTTTTCCACCTCTTCAGAGTTTTTGAAGTAAACAAATTATAAAGCGGGGGGAAAAATACAAAAAAATATGCACACTTCAAGGGAACCGAATCTTCCATATCACCAAGCACATTAAATGCTCTTTGCATTGGAGCTTGGGTGTGTTTTAATTTCCTCCAAGAGGGAGAGATGGAACTGCCAAGATGTCTGTTTTTCCTCTTTTAACTTAAAAAAATTTCCCCCAAGAGAGAAACAGAAAAAACAAAAAGAATACAAGGTTCTCACCACCTACTAGGGAAAGAATCAAATTGCTGTTTTCCGTCTTCCTAGAGTGTCATAGCATAGGGTTCTGAAACTTGGAATTAGAAATTGAACAGATTGGCCCCCCTGTTTACTTCTCTATGGTTTTTTAGGTTGAGATATGATTTCTATGTACCAAAAACAAGCTCGATATAGAATAAGAATTTGGCTATGTGGTTGAGTGTAGGGTGTCCATTCGGGTTCGGTTTTTCGGGTTTACCCGAAACCGATCCGATTATATACATTTTCGGGTTTTCGGGTTCGGGTTCATTTCGGGTTTCAGATTTTTCGGTTTCAGGTTCGGTATTGCTTATCGGTTTTTCGGGTTCCGTCTAAAAATCTCCAATGAATAGAACTCAGCCCCTATTCTTAGGCGTTCGGATTTTCGGGTTTCGGTTTTGCTTTAACCGAACCCAAACCTGATAAGAAATTTTCGGATTTCGGGCAACCGGAACCCGCAAGTCCTTATCGGGTTCGGTTTTAGTGATTTTTTGTTTCGGGTTTTGGTTCGGGTTACTGACCCCGACCCGAACTGACACCCCTAGTTGAGTGGGTAGGTGTAGATATCGTTCTTATACATATATAATTGTTAGATTCGCGATTAGAGGATTGTGGCTCTTAGAATGCATAGAAACGTACGTGAGTGATCGTGGCATGGTTGCGCCGTGCGCACACCATGACTATTTGGTTGGATGCATGCTTGTGCCTAGCTTATTCAGCAGCCCGGATTGCTAGAATGAATTCGATTTGTCTACTGAATGAGCTAGTCGTAAGCATTGTGTTTATACCTTCATCATATTCTTATTCGAAATCAACTATTGTCCTGCATGCGAGAAAAGTAAATTATCGTAATGCACTTACATCGCTCGCATGAATCACAACCGCCCTATGGTGAATCTGAAGATTGACAGGTACCTCAGATTCTGGAGAAACAAAATGAAATAGAAGAAACGAAACAGAAGTGAAAAGGAAAATAGAAATGTGTGCAGTAGGGTAGGCCATGACAAGTACAAGTAGGGGAAGAGGAACCTTTTTGTTTTTCTGGGAACAGAAGATTAGAAGTTTGGAATCATGTGGAAAGGCATTAAATGCGAAGAAGAGTTAAAGGTGGTTTTTAGGGTTCTACGATTCCTTCATTAACAATTCTTCCTTGTTGTTTTTTGTTTTCGGGGTTTCCCCGATGCCGAAGTTTTCAGTCTCTGGAAACGGGTCCGTCTTTTCTTAATAGAGATGTTTTTATTATTTCTTAACACCTTGCTTCCTGTCGGATCTGATCACAAACTGTTTCACATTAATTGCATTAGTAGCTTAATTATTATTATTATTATTATTATTATTATTATTATTATTATTATCATCATCATCGCTTCAGTATTTAATATTAGCCCAGCCTCAGCATACACATTAGCATTTGAAGTCTTTTACACGATTAGGATATACAAGTCATTTAAACTCATCTTGCACTCACCTAGCTAGCTAGAACATTGAGTAATGGCCTTTTTATACCACCACGCCCAGGTTCATCCTATTCTTACTTATTGGTGCGTTTGCTTCAACTTGACTAAATACACAAGAGAATTAAAAACTAAATTTTCTAGTTGTTATATAACACATAATTAAAGTTGAAGAAGACATTAGGTGTAAGACGGATGTTGGGGTCTTGCGTAGCACCTAACTTGTCTAAGTGTCGCTTAAACGTGCCCAGGCGATGGAAGCAAAAATAACAATTTGTACTAAATTATAAAGAAAATAGTTGTTTCACGACACTTCTAATTTTGTTCAAATGGTTAATACTTAATAACCTATTGTTCGACAATAAAAAAAATGGTTCACAAGTTTATAAAATCATAGCTCAATAACTCATAAAATTGATGAACGATGGAAAATATTGAGTTTAAACGCATCTTTTTGAACCATGCACCATTCGCTTGATTCATCTTGCACCATTCCCTTAATTCTGCAGCTAGCTTGTACGATTTCATCAATTCATTCTCAGTCTTCCAAACAACCTTTGGTCGCCAAATTAGATGCGGAAATGGCTGCACCATTTTTATGGCTTTAGGAAATGTTCTTCGAAAGACCAAGTTGGTCAGTCCTCAGGGAACAAGAACAGGAAGCCGCCATATGAATGCGAATGCACACATACTAAGCAAACTTATGGTCAAGTCGTTGCATCATTATCTTCATATATATGAGGTTCATAAATTTGCTATTTCGTTCATAAAACAACATTATCGTTCTTTTATTTCTGGAGGGGAAATGAATTAGCGCACGCGGGGATTTAATTTCTTGTGGAAAAGCTCGGTAAAACACTGTTCATCTGTTCGTGATAGTTATTCATAGAGCACAATGTGTTCCTTTGACCATAGTGCACTTCCCAAGCAAGTCGGGGCCTCGTGGTAATTTTTTGGAACAAGAGTTATAAGTCCATTTAAAGATGCATGTAGCATTCCTTCACAAAGCTGTTTAAAGAATTTCCTTTTCTACTACTTTCGTACGTGATAATACAGATTTTGAACATTTGTTTTTTGTCTGACCGATTCTGAACATTTTTGTAGTTTGTGACGTGCATGAACCAAAAGCAGTATCGATGGCAAACACATGTAATTGAATGTTTTTGGTTCTTCACGGAAAACAAACAAAACTACTTGCCTATAGAGCTGTTAATGAACCAAACAACTCATGAACGATTTTGGCGTTTGGCTCAAGAAAAACTCGTCCGATACTCAACTCGCTTTTAATCAAGCTAGCTCGATTGCGAATAAGCTTGTTATTAACGAGCCGAATTCGAGTCTCGACATGTTCAACACGATATAACTCGGGAACAAGCTTGTCTAACTTATTATTATTATTATTATTATTATTATTATTATTATTATTATTATTATTATTATTATTTCGTTGAAACTAAACTAGCTCATCCAACCCTAACAGCGTATTAATTTGGACTAAAGTAGTTTAAACACGTCTGACTTTCCACCTCCTCATTTACACTACTTTATTTCATTAAGCCACATTATTGGGGAAACAAAATGGGAACCCGTCTGACTCCCAACCGCAGTCAATCACTAAAAATCTGAAAGGAAACTAATGGAGAACCCTAGTACTCCTCTGCCGTCATCCCACCTCCTAATTGCCTGTGCTGCATCTTTGTGAGGTCGCAACGGTGACCTAGCATGCAAAATCCCTCTCTTTTCATCCAGCCGCAAATGCTTGCATCTCCTCTGTCCACCTTCACTCATTTCTTTACATAGCTTTGCTTCCAAAACCTGTAAGCCGAGAACTTCTTCTGGCGTGAAGATCCAAAAACCTCCTATTAGGTCTTCAGATCCGAGAATTGCCTCCATTCATCTCATGTTCTGCATATTGTACATCTCCTACTCTTGTTTGTATAACGGGGAGTAACATGCAATGCGTTGGGCATTCTTGCGCCCCCGGCCCCTGTTTGCACTTTGTTGTTCAAAATAATGGTTTTATTTTTGTAATTTTCTAATTATTCCAAAGTCTTAGAAGTTGAATCAATCAAATTACGAGTTGAACTTGATTTTGGCTCGTTAAACTCATTTGAAGCGGGGCGGACTCAGGAGGGTTTAGGGGTGTCTAGGGACACCCCTAAATTTTGTAAAAACGATTACCCAACTTTCGGTGGTAATCAAAAAAAAAAAAATTATAATTAATAGTTCGGGATACCCTGAAATTTGGAAAAATGATTATCCTACTCTTGTTTGTAGTTTGCGTATGAGAATATAAGTGTTAGTTTGTGTAATTCAAACCTGGGACACTACTATTATTAATAAATATAATTTCCATTCGGCTACAACTTTTTTGTTGTTCTATTCTAAACACTTTGTAATAGCAAAGTCCTATTTTTTATATATCTTTAATTATTTTCAAAACCTAACAATGAATCTAATTACAAACTACTCTTAATTTGCATTGATTGTACGCTGTTGGAGGAGATACAAAGTTTGCGGGGCTTGTTCCAGGAGTTTAGAGTTATTTTTGTTGGTCGTGAATGTAATAGGGTTGTCCACTTGGTGGCAAGAAAAGCCCTTTCGTTGTCCCCCCTCTTTAGTGGGGTTCAATTTTGTTTCTTGGTTGTTTTCAGCTATGTGACTCTTTGTATCTGGCTGTTTTCTCGATAATACGAGCGATCTTTTGGCAAAAAAAAAAAAAAAAATTGCATTGATTTTATAGTTGTACGACAAGTGCTCAAATTGTCTTCTCAGCTTTGAGTTACTTCAAGAACAAATTTAGAAGTCGAATATGCATAAGTTTGTGAATGAGTAGTGTAGACACCAAATGTATTTTATAATTTTTTTCAGAATATGAAAATACACCATAGACTTTTTTAACTTGTACGAGTAGGGTATTTTCTTATTTAAGAATTATTTAATTATTATTTTTATTTTACTTATTTTTTGAAAGAGGACACCCCTGTGTAAATTTTTTGGGTCCGCCACTGATTCGAAGAGCCGAACTCCAGCCGAGTTTGAGCTTGCTTATTAAAGCTCGTGACGAACCGAACTCGAGCTTATATAATTATTTAAACGAACCAAGTCCGAACCACAACAAAACTTGATTCGGCTCGGATAATTAACAGCCATAACTGCGGATTATGCAAAGAAAAACGAAATAAAACAAAAGAAAGAAAAACAAGTCAAATATATATGGTATGCTACTCAACACCTCTAAATTCACATAGGAACTTCATAAATTTAATTATAACATTATTGACCAAATTTTCAACTGCATCAAATTTGTAATCGGCTTCCTGTTCCTCTCACTTACTCGTATTCCCCAACAACAACAAATGTATCTTATACTAGTTCAGTAGGAATCAGGTATTATTAGTTTATTAACGTTTCTATGGATGTCTACAGTGACCATACTTATGCATTAATGACTCTCTCTCCCTGACCTACAGACCTAGTGATTTACATCGTTAGATTTGACCTTAAGATCGATCATCATCTAGAGAGAGAGAGAGAGAGAGAGAGAGAGAGAGAGAGAGAGAGAGAGAGAGAGAGAGAGAGAGAGAGAGAGAGAGAGAGAGACGTTTAGTTTCTTCTTCCATGTGAATGTGCGCGCGAACAAACATTCACGTCGAGCCCATTTCTCTTGATCTTGGCCTTGGGTTGGGGTAGGAGTC